GATTCAGAACAGTAGTATGGCACTTAATAAAAGTGACCAACCCTAAATTCTAAACTCCAAATCCCAGTTCAGCAGCAAAGATCAACCACAAAAGAAAAATGAAGTTGGAATTAATCATAAAAGGATTAAACCATATAAAAAATACTTACATATCGATGGAACTGTGTGAAGGACTGAATCATGTAGAATCGATGCATGTATACTATAGCAGTGTTGATCGTCAATTGTGAGCTTAAATATTCAAGTTAAGGCCCCAAACCAGGCAGGCAGTATAATTCCCAAAAGTACAATCTTTCTATTCTCCCAAAATGACCACGCAAGCTGAGCACAGCAGATGTTCCCAAATGAAAATATTTACCTCTCCATCAAATTATTAACTACCAATTGACACTTTAGCACACCTTAAACATAAGTTATTCACTACAAATTTACTGAATAAACAAGCAAGCTTCTTAGCATATGTGAATCAAGAAGGGACATAAACAAAATTACACAAGTCCTAAACCCATCACTTGCCTACTGAAAATCCTGCAATGGTGATTCATTAGCTCAGGACCTCTCCTCACATGATTTACAAGGCCCTCCCTGACCTGGCCCTAGGAATATGGCTCAACTTTTAAACTTTAGCAATTTTTTCAGTTCTACTTCTCTCTGGCAACCAAGCCTTCTCATAAGGTGATCCCTGGGACCAAAAATACTGTAGAATGATTTTATATTCAATCACTGACAAAATGTTAAATACCTTATTTCTAAAGACCTCAGAAGACAATGTGGGGTATACAGAATGAGGCCATTTCATATTGTCAACAACCTTAATAACAACACACATATAAAAAGGAAAGGGCTAGGATGCAACGAAACAGAATTTCTAACAAAATGTTTAACTCAGTACACTGACTGGGTGCTTAAAAAACACAATGGATATTGGCAAGAAAGAGAACACCTCTTTTGAAGTGAGCACTTAAAACATAAACATTCAGCAATATATTTAAATGGAAGGTGCACCCAAGGACAGCTTTTCACTTTCAGAATGAAAAGAACTTTAAAACTATTCTAGCCTTTTCTGCTACAAAATGAGTATATTTTCTGACCAAAATGCTAGAATTGGCCTGTTCTTTTCGGGCCCATCTGTGCACGAGGCTTCACCGATGAACCAAATAGCCATAGCAAGGGTGCACCCTGGTAGCTAGCACCTGCATTTGCACCCTGGTAGCAGGGGTGGTGCTGACCCAGTGCATGTTCACCTTCAAGAGGAAGACAGGGCAGATGACCAAGATCATCAAGATGCCTATATCCAAGCCCTGCATCTCTGGATATTGCTTACCACCTATGCTATTATTCTAGACAAATTCAAGAACAGAAAAACTCAAGAATGCCCTAAGGAAGATTGGGTAACCAAGAAATTACTAAGATTCTGCTACACATGTGAACATGATGCCAGAATTCCTGAAAAGTTCAGTTCACATGGAGACTCCTACAAGAGTAGAAGAAATTATGTGGCCTTATCAAAGGAGGAGCTGTCAATTTTCAGATTAACAGACTTCGAATCGACACTAAGTTTTCTTACATAGGAGAAAGATGTTCAATATGTCATGATGTCATTGACAACTGCTAGCTGGTTTCAGATGAATGTCGAAGTTACTGCAACTGAAGAGAAAATATTATGCTACTGAAATTGATCCTGTTCTGCCCAGCCTTCCTGGCTCAGTCGTTGAGCGTTGACCTATGAACCAGGAAGTCAAGGCTCGATTCCCAGCCAAGGCACATGCCAGGGTTGCAGGCTCAATCTCCAGTGTGGGGCCTGCAGGAGGCATTCGATCAATGATTCTCACCATTGATGTTTTTTTCTCTCTCTCTCTGTCTCTCTTCCTCTCTGAAATCAATAAAAAAATATTTAAAAAGAAAAAGAAAAATTGAGCCTGTTCTTACCATAGAAGAGTAGTACTCTTATGTTATAGAATGGTAAACTAAATGACATGGTTTGTGGAATAGGTTTCATCAAAACCTAAAGAAACTGACAGACTCTGACGTTATGCTCAAGGAACATGAAAATTTCTCTGATAAGCTCCAACATAGTATACCTGTGTTCATATTTTTGGCTGGTATCAGTATGTACTAGAGATTATCCATCAAGTTGGTGTTTATTATCCAAATGTGAAAGTAGTGTCCAACTTCATGGATTTTGATGACAATGGGGTACTCAAAGGATTTAAAGGAGAATCAATTCATGTATTTAACAAACATAATGATGTCTTAAAGAATTCAGAATATTTCAATCAATTAAAAGACAATAGCAATATAATTTGTGTGAGAGACTCCCAGGGACACTTAAGGCAGATATGTAGCCAAGTTGAATACATTCTGAAAAATGGGTATCTAAGTGAACGAGGGGATGCGCTTTTAGAAAAGCACATGGAATCTAATGATATTGTTCTAATAAAAGACAAATCATTGGAGGGGGCCACTTCTAACTTACAAAAAGATTCTGTAAATAAGCATTCTTCAAGAAGACCTCTTTCCTCAGGATGAAATTGATGCAAGAACTGTGCATCTGTTCACCTTGCTGAAAGACTTTTATTTATAATATATTCTTGCTTTGCAAGTTTTTCTCTACATTACTGAATTATTTTCAAACATGTGGAGTCCATCAACTGGAAGCTCCTTTTTCTCCACCTCTCTCTACACACTCCTCACCATATTTTTTAACATTAAAAAAAAAAAAATCTTCCTTTTTGTCTGACATCTTAGCAGCCTTGTAGCAGCTGCTCTTTAAGTTTTGCTATGCCACCCAAGGTCAACAATAAAGATACTGGAAAGTCAGCCAAGAAAGACAAAGACCCAATGAACAAATCTGGGGGCAAGGCCAAAATTAGACGTGGTCCAAAGGCAAAGTTCAGGACAAGTTCAATAACCTAGTCTAGTCTGACAAAGCAACATTATAACAAACTGTAACAAAGTTCCCAACTATAATAAGCTTATAAGCCCAACTGTTTCCCTTGAGAGACTGAAGATCCACAGTTCCCTGGCCAGGGCAGCCTTTCAGGAGCTCCTTAGCAAAGGACTTACTAGTTTCAAAGCACAGAGCTCAAGTAATTTACACCAGAAACACCAAAGGTGGGGATGCCTCAGCTGTTGAAGATGCATGAACAACAGGCCCCACCAGCTGCGTATTTTGAAAAATAAACTGTATTAAATCAGGGAGAGGGGATATCTTAAAGTTAAAATTTGAAAAATAACTATTTCCAAAGAGCATTTTGTAGTTAATGTTAAGATGTTTTTGAGGAGTCTCTTTACACTGGGAAAGTTTGTAGAAGTTTAGAAAGTTTTATGAAATGGTGAAATAATGTGTATAGTTTTTAAGTATAGCCATTTTTGTAATTTGTGTGAATTATGCTGATGGTATCTCCATCTACTAAAATTGTGTTATTTTGGTTAATTTGTTTCAGGAAAATTGATAATTACCAAAAAATACTGGTACTTGATGTTTGAAAAAACTGTTGGTATCCACATGTCACTAATCATGATTAAATGTTTTGTATCGAAGTTCTGATAATATGAAATGAAAAGCCAAAAAATGCTTGGAGGAAAAAAGTCACTATATTACCTCATCTTTGAAATATGAGAAAAACAAACACACATCAGCACTGAGTATCTTAAAACCCCAACTTTTTTTTTAATCTCTAGAGAATTTTTGTAAGAATTTATTTGAGCCAAACAGGATATGCTGGAAAGTAAGGTCTCAACATGATTCAGAAAAATGCTTTCAAAAACCCAATATTTTTCAATGTTTTTTTAAACCGTTAGATCATTAGGTCTACATCCCTACAAATCTTAACTGGCATCCCCCCTTCCTCTGAAATTCTATGAAACTCTAACAGTAGTTACTATTTGAACTTGAGTGTCAAGTATTGTGTAGGCCATTGAAATTAAATGCAAGAAGAATCACCCCATTTTACAGAGAACACCAAGAATTTGACAGCTTCCTTAGAGAGAGAAGTGGGAAGAAGAAACTTTGAACCAAAGCTGGGCATTAATTCTAGGCCACCCTTTATAAGACCCTCAAGTAATGAATTTCTCAAAATTCTCTATACACACTAAATTCAAGACGCAGTCATCAACGCTAACACCTCCACCAGGGCCTAGGCCCTAGGGCATAGCAGAAAAGCATAATCTCAAAGTCACCAGAACAGGCGATCAGAACACACCGAAAATGGCCTAAGAACGGCCGGTTAAAACATAAAGCCGGGAAGCACACGAATTCCCGGCAAGGTTGGTGGCACCGGTGAGCGAGCGGGAAATTAATTGCGCCTCGCCTCCCTCACGCGAACACTGAACTTTCAGCCTGCCCCACCGCAGTCTCTCCCACCCGACATCAGCCCCTGCCCACCCTCTCCCCACTTCCGTCCCTTAGAGAGCCTGGGGCCTGGACGCGAGCGCCAAGGCGGGACTGATTCCAAGGCCGAAGGCCTAGGCCGCAAGGATACACATAAAGACGTTGCCCCATGTCCTGGAGCAGATTGGCCGCCTGCTGACGATAAGAAAGTTCTTTATCTGGGTCCAGCCCAAAGCGACGGGATGGGCTATTTTCCAGCTGTTCTCGAGTAAAATACCACCGTTTGTTGTTCTTTCTCTCTTCCTCCATAGTGCTCCAACCAGAAGGCAGCGGCGAAGGCTGCAAGCGCTTCCCAGCGTCACTTAAGCGGCGACACACATCCGCTGTGCGGCGGCAGCTGCGCCGTGACGAACTTCCGCTAAGGATGGCCGGATAGGTTGTGACACGCTTCCGCCGAGAAGAATAGTTGAAGGCTCTACTTCCTTAATGGATCACGCGACAGCCAGTAACCAAGTAAACAGCCAATAGGCGAGCAGGAAAGACCTCGGGGTGGGGACGCGAGTGCCCGTCATGTGACCCTTGGAGGGAGGGTGAGGTTAAAAGTTTTCGTTCAAAACCACGTCCCCTCTCGCGAGAAGTAGGCTGAGCATTCGCGCCCTGCGCGAGAGGGTGAGGCAATGTTTGTGGCGGGATTAGGCGCCCGCCCACGCGCCGCGCCGCGGCTTCTCGGAGAATTTCGTTTGTGGCGGAGGTGGCGATATAAAATGGGGCAGATGGAGAACTTGACAGAGAAAATAGGTGAGACTGACAAAAACTAAAAAAGTGATCATAGTGGCCCTATCGTATATCGTAACGTGAAGCAACTGGAAGCTCTCACACTATTGATAACAATGTAAATTACGCATTTGGGACGCTAAAGCGTTGAATGCATTCCTAGCTTCTCCACAATGATCCAACTTAAAGGAATAAAATGAATGAAGTCGCTTTCCTTGATTCAGCGCCTGTCACTCAACTTATTGGCTGTCATGCAGCACGCAGAACTAGTTTTCACTCAATTACAATAATACTTTGAGTTTTGTTTATTTCTAGATGTGGCTGTTCCAATGCAGTAAGTTTAGTTTAGTTTAGGTCATTCTCAATTATTTCCTTCCATTCCAGGCCCTATCTGCCATATACTGCGTGCAGTAAGCCTTAGCTCTGTTTTGCTCCAGAAAAATTGAGGTTCAGAAAGATGTAAATTACATCAGGTTATATAACATTCAAAAATAATAATTATTTCAAACTTCCTTCATCATAGACTTTTTTCTTTTAATAGAATAAGCACTTTTCCAGTTATGTAGTCATGTATGTTGTTTTTTAAAAGTCGAATTTATTTCTCCCAGATCCCTCTTGCCTATATCTCTGACCTGTGTTTGGTTCTCCACTTAATCTCTTGGATCAGCGATTTTCAACTGATGTGCTGCAAGAATCTTTAAAACATGCAATACAGGCACTGGCCTCTTTTCCCTTTCAGTGGTTCTCAACCTTCTGGCCCTTTAAATACAGTTCCTCATGTTGTGACCCAACCATAAAATTATTTCCGTTGCTACTTCGTAACTGTAATGTTGCTACTGTTATGAATCGTCATGTAAATATCTGATATGCAGGATGGTCTTAGGTGACCCCTGTGAAAGGGTCGTTCAACCGCCAAAGGGGTCGCGACCCACAGGTTGGGAACCGCTGCCTTAGATTGTCAAATAAGAGAATGACAACAGCCAACGCAACAATAGCCATCTGGTATGAATGAGTCAATTATACCTTTTTTGTTAGATTGGCCAAGAATATATAAATATTTTCCGGTGTGCTACAGAATTTTAGTAATTAGTTTGTGTGCCATGACGTGAAAAAAAGTTGAAAATCGCTGTGTTAGATTGGTGACTCCATTTTGAATTTGCTGTCCTGGTTGAGTATGCTAGTCTTCCAAGAGAAGTTATGGTATCCGTAAGGCTTCAGGCAATGCACCTGCTAACCAATGGCTTGCTACCCTGCCATACAGAAGAGGAGGACCGTGTAAATCAGAGAAAAGAAATATTCCTTGGCTGAAGATTAAATTACTTGAAAGTAGGCAGCAGTGATAACATAATTGATAAAGGTGCCTTTTTGTGTCAGGCCAGAATCCAAATCCCAGCTATTCAATTTTTTTAAAAAACCATCTTAACCATGTTTTGAATTTATTGATTTTAGAGAGAGAGAGGACGGGAAAGAGCGAAAGAGAAACATTAGTGTATGTGCCCTGACCGGGATTGAACCCGCAACATTGATATATTTGGATGATGCTCTAACCAACTGAGCTACCTGGCCAGAAAATCATTTTTAAGTGTACATGTCAGTAGTGTCAACTATATTCACATTATTATGTAACTGGTCTCTACAACTTCTTCATTTTGCAAAACTGAAATTCTGTACCCATTGAACAAGTCCTCATTTCCCCCTCTGCCTAGCCCCATTCTACTTGCTGTTCCTATGAGTTTAACTACTTTAGATACGTCATAGACATGGAATCATACAGTATTTGTCTGTCTGTGACTAGCTTATAGCATTATACTAAGTTTTAGTATAATGACCTCAAAATTCCAAGCTACTCCTTTAACTAGCTGTGTGATCTTAAATGTCATCGCTGCATACTGTCAGAACACCTGACACATAGTAGGTATTCGATACATGTTTATGGTCAAAATAATGTTAACCCTCTGGTACGTTGCCCTTAAAGAACAACTGACAAATCTTAAGCCAGAGGAATTTTTTGTTGTTAAATAGGACCCCTTTTTTCTGTAAATCATACCTATAAGGCTACTCTTCTTACTCACTAGACTAATCTTGTACAGGATTATACCATATTTCATGGTTTAATCTTATTTTGCTGTGCTTAGCAATGTCATATTTCAGTTGTGTCAAATATTACCATTTGTTACAGATAAAACAATTTCTCCCAACATTCTTATAGTTTCCAAATTAAAATATGAAAAGATGGTGTTCTCTTCCAAACTATCCCTAACTCCACATTCAGTAATGTCATGGTAACTTGAAATTGGCCAAGGTGTGTATGTGCTGATAAATTATTAACAGCCAGCTACCCAGAAAAGTAATTTTAAGTATATGTATACGTACATAAAGTTTATTGTAAAAATTACTGATATAAAGGATGGGTAACACACAATTTATAAAAAATAAAGTATGCAATCTTTATTTATAGCCAACTGGTTCTCACAGAATGCTTTCATTGAGTTTTACCAAACTCTTTGAATCAAGAACCAACCTATGATTGCATTTGACAGATGAGGATAGCTTTGACTATTGGTTGACATTTTCATTTGCATTATCCAATAAGATGAAAGTGAAACAATGAGACTTATGTTGGAACTTTATTTATCAGTGACTTGAGCAATGTCTTTGCTGAATTGGATAATAGTTTTTGAATACTGGAAGAATATTTCAATTTTTTGTGCTATTTATAATGTAATGGCACCAAACATGATACACTTTTAAACTTAATCTACATAAAGTTTTCTCTACACTTTCTTAACTCTAGTCAGTCAATAAAACAATAAATTAAGTCTTTGTCCGTAGCATTTGCCAATTTCTGTAGTGTTACCTCCCACCATGGCCAATTTCAAGCTACCAATGTGACATCACTGATTATGAAATTGGAAAGAGATGAACACACAATCACATAGTATACTCACCATGCAGAGAAAATATACAGGGACTTCTGGTTTCCAGTCTGATGTGTAAAGAGCTTGGAAATCATCACTCCTCACAACCAAACAAAAAGGCTGAACTGAAAATCAATAATTCTTCTTAAATGCATCAAAGAATTAAGGTAACAGGACAACCTCTACCACAAAAAGTGGAGAGACGGGCAGAATCAGCAGGCAGAACAGAGAATCATGGCTCACTGGGAGCAAAAAATACTACTGGAACCAGCAACTGGTAGGAATACTTAAAGGGGAATTGACCAATTGCTGGTAAGTGAAATTGGACTACATTGAAAGATTTTTAAAAAACTCCTGGGGCTTTGCCTTAAGGAATCCCCCACATTTTTGTGCATTTTACCTTCAGGAACCCCGTATGTCTTACTATGAAGATTGGAAAATATTCTCCTCATCCTTCTGGCAAGGAAAAGGAAAGTAACCATTTTGAAATACAGAGCTTTTGTTTTGTTTTTTCAATTTATTGATTTTAGGAAGGGAGAGAGAAAGAGAAGCATCAATTTGTTGTTCATTGGTTGATTCTTTTCTCCCCATTGGTTGATTCTTGTATGTGCCCTGATCAGGGATTGAACCTGCAACCTTGAATATTGGGATGACACTCTAACCAACTGAACTACCCAACCAGGGCCAGAGCATTAATTTCTTGACAAAGACCTATCCTCAGGGAAAACTACTTAAGAGCCTAACCCAGGGGTGGGCAACCCCTGGCACCCGTGCCAAACATGGCACACCAGTAACTTTTGCTGGCACCCGAAACCCTCTCTTATAATCTTCCATTTACAATTTTGTTCTTAATATCGACTTTTTTATTTTTCAGATAAATTCAGTGTAGGTGCATCTTAGATAAATAAATAATTTTACATAACAAGTTATCTTAAAGACCACAGACATAGATTGACGAGAGAGGGGAAGAGCAATTTCAATAGCGTCGAAAACGAACTATTGAGGACTTGGAATGCCATTCCAGAAAATTTTTTCTGTTTAAAAAACTTTGCAACAGCGTTACTCTCCATGGTTTCATCCACATATGCTTGGGAATCTTTGTTCTCAGTGATGAATTTTGTGAAGTCTCATAATAGGAGTAGCCTGACGGATGAAAGTAGCAGCTCGTGCATATCTCTGAAGGTCACGAAATATAAAGCTGATGTAAAATCTCTGTCATCAGTGATGCAGCAGCAAAAGTCCCACTGATAATATCAAACGGAGTCATAAAGTTTTCTGTTGGACTATCAGTGTACATGTATACATTAAAAAATAAATGTATTTTTCATCATCATATACTGTGTTTTTGTTGCTCGAATGAATTTTATTCTTCAAGGTTCTTCACATACGTACACCTTAAGAGATATCAAGTAGGCGTTAACATGTTCTCAAAAAATTAGGGTTGGCACGCAGAAGAATTTTGAGTCAGATTTTGCTGGTTTTGGCACGCACTCACAAAAAGGTTGCCCACCCCTGGCCTAACCAATGTGGGAGAAGGAAAACAACCAACTCCAGCCTCCTCTAGCTTGTTTCAGCTAAGGGAAGAAAAAAGACAAGAAGCATTTGTGAAGGTCACAATCCAGGAACACAAGCTCACTGAAAGACTGAGGCCTAATAGGATTGGAGAACACTTCTCTCCCACCCCACCATTTTACCAACACATCAGTAGGGATCCTCTGTAATAACAGGGCATTACAACTTGGAAGAACTACAAGCTCAGACTATTTAAGAAGGAGTCTCTAGGGAAACCCAAAGACAATTTAGCTTCTGGCACCTATTTCTATAGCACACAGAAAACAACCTAATTCCCAGCCAGATAAACATAAAATCTCAGTCCCTTTTACCCAGTATATTATGCCTGTCTACAAAAAAATTACAAGGCATGCTAAAAGACAAAAAAAAAAAAAAAAAAATACAGTCTAAAGAGGCAAGACAAGCATCAGAACCAAACTCATATGTGGCAGAAATTTTGGAATTATCAAACCAGGAATTTAAAATAACCAGGATTAATATGTTAAGGGCTCTAAAGGGAAAAGTGCACATGTACAAAAACAGATGAGTAATGTAAGCAAAAAGGTGAAAACTCCTTAAGAATCAAAAGAAAGTGCTAGAAATCAAAAGCACTAACAGAAATGAAGAATGCCTTTGATGGACGTAGTAGATTGATCACAATCAAGGAAAGAACAGTGAATTTGAAGATATGCCGATAGAAACTTCCCAAGCTGAAAAGCAAACAGGAAAAAGGAATAAAAAAATCAAAAACAGAAGAGAATATCCAGATACAATAGCTGTAAATAACCTCATGAACAAAGGTAATAATAAAACATAGTAAGAGAAGTGTTTTTAGTATTTACTACTTTTATATTTTTAATGTAATTTATTCTATTGTAATTTTTAGAATAATGGTTGTTTAAAAAACAGCTCAAAAAATTCCTTGCCTGGCCGGTGTGGCTCAGTGCTTGAGCGTCACAGCCTATGAACCAAGAGGTCACAGTTTGATTCCTGGTCAGGGCACATACCTGCATTGTGGGCTCCATCCCCAGTGGGGAACACGCAGGAGGCAGCTGATCAATGATTCTCTCTCATCCTTGATGTTTCCATTTCTCTCTCCCTCTCCCATCCTCTCTCTGAAATCAATAAAAACATATTTTTAAAAATTCCTGAAAGTTTAGCAAGTGGTTCTCAAAAGTAAATATGAACTAGCACAGTACTGCTTGAAATGAAGGCTCATTGGAGGTACCATCTTCAGATTTAAATACTGTTTGCTAAGGTTCCATTATGTGCTGAACACTGTGCTGAGGAAATTTGCATACATTATCTCATTTAATTCTCATACCTCCATGAAATAGATACCATCTCCATTTTTTTTTTAAGTTAAAAAAACACCCAGGGATGATTATATTCAAAGTCAGGCACTTAGAATATAGTGAAACTAAGATTTGAGCCCAGGTCAGTGCTCTTTCTACTCATTGCCTTCTGAAGCTTACAGGATAATAAAATGGGGCAAATAAAAAGGTAACTGGCACTTGATTACTCCATTTTCCTGAAGTTACTTAGCCAACTCCCACTCCAGCTCCACTGTGAACCCATAAATCATGTGCCTCTTTAGACTAAAGGAATGTCAGTCATAATAATTCTTCAGAACATTACCATGGTTACCAGTTTGGTGCTCCAGCCTGGACATTCCAGAAGAGGTCAGGGAAGAGCTAAGATGGCCTTCTTCAACTTGTATCTACTGGGATATCAAAATTCCTTTCAGCACAAGAAAAGGGACACAACTGAAGAAACAAGTAAGGGGAATATAGAGTAGAGGTTTAGAAGGCCCACTTCTTAGCCATTTACTTTTCCTACCTTGGGTCAGAGATTTATCCCCCAACATTAAAAATTACACTAGTTAAAATAATGGAGTAGGCAGAGTATCCATTCAGGTTCCCACTTCTGTCATTTAATATCCTTATTAAGATACCCAATTTGTTCAAATAAATGTATTCATTTGCTCATTTAGCCAACATTTAAGCACCAACTTTGTGCCAGGTTTTATCTTGGTGACGGATTACAAAGATAGATAGAATAAGGTCTCTGCATAAAGTGGCTGACTAGCAAATGCAGATAAGTATGCAAACAAAAGATTTGCAATATTGTATGAGATTAAATTAAATATGGAATGCTATGTAGACCCAAAAGAGGAAGTATCTGATACGTTGGATTTGAAGTGAGAATAGGGGGATACTTTAGAGAAGACCTCATACACAAAATGCTTCCAGAAATGAGTGTTAAAGGATGGTTGGAGTTCAAGTAGACAAGAAGGGAATATTGCACAGACAAAGGAACAGAAACTTGAGAGAGAGCCAAATTAAGTGAGCACTCAAGTCCTTGGGTACAGATAAGTGGTGAAATAAATAGATGCTGGGGAGCAGGCCTTGAAAACTAGGCAGGGGCCAGATAATTAAGGATGATGTTAGTCATGCTAAGCATATATATATATATAATTGTTGATAGTATTACAGATGTCTTCCGTTTATCCCCCTCCTCCCAGCCTCTACCCACTCACCCCCAAGTCTTCACCACCCTATTGCCCATGTCCACGGGCTATGCATATAAGCATGCTAAGCATTTTAATTTTAGAGGGAGACATGGAAGGATATCTAGTTGGCAGTGAGTACATAGTAGACTTGTATTATATTCACAATGCCTAGCAGTGTCTCATACACAATAGAGGTTTAATAAATTCATATGTGTAGGGTGAACAAATGAATAAATAATATAGAATGACTAACCAAAACAAGTTAGGGGAGGCTTTGCAGGAGATGTGACGATTGATTAAGGTCTTCAAAGGTGACTTGTTTGAAAGCACAGAAATGGAGAAGGATTTTCTGAGCCAAATAGAGAGCACATGAAGGAAATTAAATATAGGCAGGTACTAAAGCAAAAGTGATGTTGAGGTGAGGGATGGGGGTTACTGGAAAAGTATAAAGCACAGAGTTAAGATTATGAAGGATTGACCTCCATTGGGCACTCTCGGTCCTCTTTCTAATTCCATCATAGAAGCTCTGTTTTACATATCCAGTTTCCAGGTAAGACTTGTACAAAGGATCCCACTGATGGGCCCTAGGAATCCCTTAATAGCTCTACACCAGCCCTCTCCACTTGCCCCCAACCATTTGAGTCCCAACATTATTCCATGGGGCTACTGTTGTCTCCAAATAAGCTTTTCATCCTCTCTCAGAGAAACACACTTGGCTTAACCCACAAATTTCCCCTGTTCCAGGCCAAGAGCAGGCCTCTCCTGCCTGCCGGTACTAGAGGGACTTCTCACCATGAGATAATTAAGCTTCAAGCCTGGGATTTTCCTACCCAGTTAGCCACTTAAACACTGGTGGACAAGACTCAGTTCCAAAAAGGCCTGGGTCTCATTTCTGATGAATTACTTTGTAGGCTAGTCAGAAAGAATTCACTTTATAAAAACTGGAGTCCCTGTGGGATGACAGGGAAGCATCCTGATATCATCTGCTTACCCATGTTTTTTCATTCCAACGGCAGACCATCAGAGACAGGAGGCTTGGCTAACCTGTTGGCCTAAAATGTAGAGGGAAGACTGGACATCAAATTTGCCTCCCCTCAGCCCCCACTTGGTTCTCTCACCCCCTTCAATTTTATACCCTCTGGTTATCTCTCAAGATTTGGACAGAGGAGGTCCATTTGCTAAATTCTAATTAATCCCTAATTTTGTTGATTCAGGCATTTAATAATAATTATCTATTTAGCATGTACTGTGTTCCAGGCATTGTAGTGAGAACTCTACATGCATGATTCCATGTAATCCTGTCCACATTCCTGTGAGGTAGATATTACTATTCCTTTTATCAATAAGGAAACAGGCTCAAAGAGGTTAACTTATTTACTTAAGGTCACAGTGATAGAGCCAGAATTTGATTCCAAATTGTCAAATACCTATGCCTGTGCTCATTTTAAAAAATATTTCTATTGGTTTCAGAGAGGAAGGAGGAGGAATAGAGAGATAGAAACATCAATGATAAGATAATCATTGGTTGGCTGCCTCCTGCAGGTTCCTCCACTGGGGATTGAGCCCACAACCCAGGCATGTGCTCTGACCGAGAATCAAACCTTGATCTTCTGATTCATAGATCATCACTCAACCACTGAACCACACCGGCAGGCCCTGTGCTCATTTTTATTTTTTATTTTTAATTAAATCTTTATTGTTCAGATTATTACATTTGTTCCTCTTTTTTTTCCCCCCATAACTCCCCTCCTCCCAGTTCCCGCCCCACCCTCCGCCCTCACTCCCCACCCACTGTCCTCTTCCATAGGTGCACGATTTTTGTCCAGTCTCTTTCCGCATCTCCCACACCCCTTTCCCCCCCAAGAATAGTCAGTCCATTCCCTTTCTATATCCCTGATTCTATTATGATCACCAGTTCATTCTGTTCATCAGATTATTTATTCACTTGATCCTTAGATTCACTTGTTGATAGATGCATATTTGTTGTTCATAATTTGTATCATTACCTTTTTCTTCTTCTTCCTCTTCTTAAAGGATACCTTTCAGCATTTCATATAATACTGGTTTGGTGGTGATGAACTCCTTTAGCTTTTCCTTATCTGTGAAGCTCTTTATCTGACCTTCAATTCTGAATGATAGATTTGCTGGATAAAGTAATCTTGGTTGTAGGTTCTTGGTATTCATCACTTTGAATATTTCTTGCCATTCCCTTCTGGCCTGCAAAGTTTCTGTTGAGAAATCAGCTGACAGTCGTATGGGTATTCCCTTGTAGGTAACTGGGTTTCTTTTCTTGCTGCTTTTAAGATTCTCTCTTTGTCTTTTGCTCTTGGCATTTTAATTATGATGTGTCTTGGTGTGGTCCTCTTTGGATTCCTTTTGTTTGGGGTTCTCTGTGCTTCCTGGACCTGTAAGTCTATTTCTTTCACCAGGTGGGGGAAGTTTTCTGTCATTATTTCTTCAAATAGGTTTTCAATATCTTGCTCTCTCTCATCTTCTGGCACCCCTATAATTCTGATGTTGGTACGCTTGAAGCTGTCCCAGAGGCTCCTTACACTATCTTCGTATTTTAGGATTCTTTTTTCATTTTGCTTTTCCGGTTGGGTGTTTTTTGCTTCTTCGCGTTTCGAATCTTTGACTTGATTCTTGTGCTCCTCTGGTCTGCTGTTGGGTGTCTGTATAATATTCTTTATTTCAGTCAGTGTATGCTTAATTTCTAGTTGGTTCTTTATCACAACATCGAGGGTCTCATTAGATTTCTTGAGGATCTCACTACATTTATCGGCGGTCTCATCAGTCTTTTCGAGGGCCTTACTAAGTTTATCGGCAGCTTCTAGACAGTTCTTGAGAGACCTTAAAAGTGTGGTTTTGAGCTCTATATCTTCCATTTCTGACATTTGCATCCTGTTTCTTTGTCTCCGCATTTTAATATCTTTTCTTGGTGCACCCCCTAGTGGTCTTTGTGCGCAGTCTTGTAGTTAAGCCTTGATTGTTGTCGGTAATACCAGGGGTGATTTGGCCTCCAGGCTAACTGGCTATGAGAGTCAGCTGTGTCTGCAGTGGGAGAGCTTCTGTGCTGGATCTCTAGGGCGGTGCTAATCTAGCGTTCGCCTGAGGCTATCCGGCAAATGGCTCTGCACAGGGCTTGGGCGGGGTGGGGTCCCGGGGGATCTACAGGGCGGGCCGGAGCAAGCAGTTATGGCGGCTCTCAGTTCCGTACCTAGGGGCTCTGCCTCTCAGAGTCCCAGCAACCGCTGCAAACCTCAGAGAGAAAGCTGCCTTTGAGTTCTGACTGAAGCCAGACAGTCCCGCTTCTCCCGTTTGAGTCTGGGTCCCCAGAGACTCGCCCGGATCTGGAGCTCAGAGTCTGAAACTCCCTCCCGATTGAAAACAACAACCACGCCCTCCGCCGCCAGCCCGCTCCGCGTGCGCACTCCACACCTGAGTATTTCACTTCAGCACTGCGCCTCCTCTGAGTCTGGGTATGATATTCTCTTTCCTCCTAGTTGTAGAATTTCCACTCAGCCAGCCTTCCTGTGGTTCTGGATGATGTCCGTTCTGTCCTTTAGTTATATCTCTGAAGTGGTTGTTTGAGGCAGCAATCTCCGGCGTTAACCTATTTTGCCATCTTGGTTTCTCTCCTCATTTTTAAACATTTATGGAGACAACACAAGTCTTTTGCTGTGGGCAGACCACTGTACAAATGATTGATAGCCTTTCTATGAAAATCTATTAACCTCTAAACCCTGAAGTTCAAATGTCAGGTTGGCTTTACCTAGAGTTACTTATTCTCTGTTCCCCAACAGGTGGTTCCCAAGAGTATTAGGAGCTGAATGGTAACTTTCAGCCAGAATTGTTGACCTGAGGACTTCTTTATGGAGTCAACACCTGTAACCTTCTCCTAGAGCCCCTGGGCAACTTCCCAAGAGAGTTACAACATTCTATAACCTCACAGTAGTGTTCTACAAGCCCAGAAAAAAAAGTAACTGGGTTAGTTCCTTCTGACATTTTTTTTAAAAACACACACATATGCATATCCACTACAGAATCATTATTATGTGGTCCATCTATTATATGCAGGTGCCAAAACAATAATTTTTGTTTTCTATACTTAAAACTCAAACCTTGCTTGAATTATTGGTGGAAATTCAATGCTAGGAGTTCAATCATATTTTATTTCTTCAAATAAAACTAGGCAGCTTCATTTCTAGGACAAGAATTTAGTGAAATCACTATTTGACAAGGCAACTAGTTACCATGGATCCCATTTTTCCAGGAGGCATCTTGAAGTCAATGTGGTCCATCAGATCCTGGAGTGTGGCTAACCTAATCAATACCCATAAACTCCTAACCACCAAGTAGGAATCTCTGGTATAAACCAGCCACTAGACATCAAGCTAGCATGCTTGGATCAATTAAGTCCTATATAATGAAAGTTGAATGTAATTACAGTAGAATCTTATCAGATAAATAGTTGGTTAATTTAAAGGAAGATTCCATGTAAATTGGGAATTCAAGAAAAGATACATTCCTTATATATTTTAGTTTCACTTAATACGTATAACTATAGATTCACCAATTTTTTTATAAAGTGCCAATTCCTTTTCCTTGAAAATGTGTCTGTTCAGAAAAACATAGAACAGACAGTCAAACCTCAGAGGGAAGGCAGGGGAAGAAAGGAGGGGGTAGAGATCAACCAAAGGGCTTGTTTGCATGCATATAAGCATAACCAATGGACATAGACACAAGGGGGGTGGGGCAATGGGGGGGAAAAGGAGACATATGTAATACCTTAATCAATAAAGAATTGGAAGCCGAAACCGGTTTGGCTCAGTGGATAGAGCGTCGGCCTGCGGACTGGAGGGTCCCAGGTTCGATTCCGGTCAAGGGCATGTACCTGGGTTGCAGGCACGTCCCCGGTGGGGGATGTGCAGGAGGCGGCTGATCGATGTTTCTCTCTCATCGATGTTTCTGACTCTCTATCTCTCTCCCTTCCTCTCTGTAAAAAATCAATAAAATATATTAAAAATAAATAAATAAAGAATTGGAAAAAAAATTTAAATGGAGAGGAAAATCAATTTTAATATACAGAAGGAACCTATATTTACCATTATAATTAATGGAAAACACAAGAACCATGATTTTTTTCTCTATAAGAGATTTACTTGTAATAACCTCATTTAATAAATTGTTCTCTTGGTTTAACAAAAATAATAAATTATTGGCCAAGAAGAAATGTTGAAGAAGAAAAAAGGCATTATATAACACATTAAAAATGAAAATTACAGAGATACACTAGCCAACTTCAATAATTGTCATTATTAGGGTTTTATGTATGATTAGTAGCTATGGAGATAGTATAATGGTAATGTGTAGTATAAAAAAATATTTGGAGACTAGAGGTCTGTTTGCAGTCAGGAACCAATTTACCCAGCACATTCATATGTAATACCTGATGCTTACTGCTGGTCAAGATTGGCCATATAGGGTGGTGGTTAACAAAATGACCTCAGGGTCAGCATGTTTGAGTTCCAATCCCAATCTCATCTCTGTGAGCTGATAATCTTGACAAGTTACTTAACTTCTCCATGTCTTTTTATTTCTTTTTTGTGTGTGTGTGTGTGTGATTTCTTTTTTTTTAAATTTTTATTTCTTAAAGTATTACAAAGAGTATTACATATGTCTCCTTTTTTTCCCCCCCTTGACATTCCCCCGGCCCCTACCACCCCGGTGTCTTGTGTCCATTGGTTAATCTTATATGCATTGCATATAAGTCCTTCAGTTGATCTCTTAATCCCCCCCCGCAAACCCTCCCCAGGCTTCCCACTGTAGTTTGACAGTCTGTTCAATGTTGTGTTTCTTTGTAAAATGAGATAATTAAAGTATCAACCTCATAATATTGTATTAGGTTTAATTGAGATAATGCAGTTAGCAGATGTCTGGCTGTTTATAGGAGCTCAATAGATAAAAGATGAAAGGATGTCTGCTAACTAGAATGGAACATTTATATTTATAATAATAAAAAAGTAAGTGATTCTCTGTCTAAATGTTAAAAAAAAGAAGAAGAAGAAGAAAATGTGTCTGTTGATGATTTTTCCCCTTTAATGCATCATCTACAATTCCCATTTGGGTTTATTTAAAGTGGATTCAAAAGTGGAGCTGACCAAGTAGCTCCATTGGTTAGAGAATTGACCAGATATGCCAAGGTTGCGGGTTTGATCCCAGTCAGGTACATACAAGAAGCAACCAATGAA